TCTTTTCAACAAATGGTGCTGGGAAAGCTAGATATCCACATGCAAAGGAATGAAGGTGAATCTTGCTTTAAACAATATACAATAGTCAATTCAAATGTATCAAAGAGATAAATATCAAAGCTAAGAATATAAAACTCTTAGAAGAAAACAGAGGGGAAAGCCTTCATAATGTTGGATTTGGCAATGATTTCTTGAATATGACACCAAAAGCATAGGCAACAAAAGGAAAAGAAATAGATATATCAATTTTAATTTGAACTAAAAACTTTCGTACATCAAATGATACTACAGCATGGAAGCATATACACTATTTGTAAAATATATAACTGATGGGAATTTGCTATCTGACTCAAGAAACTAAAACCAGGGCTCTGTAACAACCTAGAGGGTGGGAAGGGGCGGGAGGTGGGAGGGAAGTTAGAGAGAGAGGACACATGCGTACCTGTGACTGACTCATGTTGATGTGTGGCCAAGGCCAACACAGTATTGTGAAGCAATTTTCCTTCAATTAAAAATAAATTAGTAAAATAAAGATACTGTTAGGTAACACAACTCCAAAATGGAAGAAAATATTTACAGATTATATATCTGGTAAGTGATTAAGATCTAAAATACATAAAGAGCTCTTTAAAAAAAATAAAATACATAAAGAACTCTTATAACTCAATAACAACAAAAAATTTAAGGCTTGAATAGACAAAATACTTGAATAGACATTTCTCCAAAGAAAAATTACTAATGGCTAATAAGCACATGGAAAGATGTTCAACATCACTAATCATTAAAGAAATGCAAATCAAAATGACAATGAGATATTACTTAACATCCATTAGGATGGCTATTATAAAAAAAAAAAAAAGAAAGAACAAACTTCGGCACGGATGTGGAGAAATTGGAACTCTTGTATATTGCTGGTGTGAATGTAGAATGGTGTATAAAACACCATGGGAAACAGTTTAGGAAAAAAGCTAAACATAGAATTATTGTATGAAAGGAAACACTCAGACACTTATGCTCCAATGTTCACTGTAGCATTATTCACAATACAAATTTCCCCTGGCTATCCAAAACTAGAGTGTCCCTATGAAACCTTTTGTAAGCAGAGAGAACATAAAGCAAAGAAGCAGTTGCTTTAGGAAACATCTTATTAACAAAATAAATCAAGATAAGTCACAGAAACGCACAGACACAGTTCAAAGTTACAGCAGCTTGATGTTGATATGCCAAGTAGTTCCAGGGGAAGAAGCTTGGTGGTGTCACTCTCAATGCACAGGGTGTATATTGTGTCTGTAAAAGTTCTTGCAAAACAAATGTTCAATACTATTTTTGCTTTTTGCCTTTATTCACAAATGCAAAAATCATCTTTGAATTTCTTTCAGTTAGCGAAAACAGGTACTAATGTAGGTCTTTCATAGAAACAAAGTGGATCTTTCAAAAGCAGGGGATATGAAAAAATGTCCATAAGCAGATGAATAAATGAAAAAATGTAGTATATATGTTACAGGGAAGAAAGGACTCCATGTTGGATCTGTTTGGTTTTTTTCTTTACTTTGCTTTGTTTCCCATTGCTTTTGTTCACTGACACGATACTGTCCATACAGAATGACCTGTCTCAGAGAACCCTGCCCCCTCTGTTTGAATGTCAAACCAAAATATCTATGTTCAGGACCCTGTCCACCTGTGGATGGCTACAGGAAGGAAGAAATTAACACACCTCCTCCCAAGGCTAGCCATTCCAGGAAATATCTGTAAGATTAATGGCCCTTTTAATTTTATCTCCTCACCCCTCCCACTCTCTGATCTATAAAAAAGCCTGGCATCCAGACCCCAATAAAATGGCTATTTTGAGACTTTAGTCTGTCCCTCTCTCATTCAGCTGGCTTTCCAAATAAAGTTCTATTCCTTGATTCAAAATCTTGTCTCTTGATTAATTGACCTGTTGTTTGACAAGTAGAGTGATAGAATATTATTCAGCCATAAAAAAATAGAACAAAATTCTGATACATGCTCCAACATGGATGAATCTTAAAGTCCTAAAATCTTAATCTATGTAAGAAAGAAAATTCATAGAAATGGAATGTAGATTAGAGGTTGGTCGAGGTTGAAGGACAAGGTAAGCAAGGAGTCATTGCTTAATGGTTCCAGAGATTCAGTCTGGAGTAACAAAATATTCTGCACCCAATTCCAGTGTTGATGGGGCAGGGGTTGGGGGGAGGGTTCACACCAACAAGGAATTCTCCCATACTAATGGTGAGTGGTGAGCAGCCGAGAGGAGGTACCCCATGTCCAAGGTCAGAGAAACCCCAGTAAGATGGTAGGCCCTGGGAGAGGGCATCCGAGGGCAGACGGACTGAAACTACAGTCACAGAAAAGTAACGAATCTAAACGCATGGACAAGAACCTTGTCTAACTCAATGAAACTATGAGCCATGCAGTGTAGGGCACCCAAGACAGACGGGTCATGGTGGAGAGTTCTGACAAAATGAGGTCCACTGGAGAAAGGAGTGGCAAACCACTTCAGTATTCTTGCCTTGAGAACCCCATGAACAGTATGAAAAGGCAAAAAGATAGGACACTGAAAGATGAACTCCCTAGGTAAGTAGGTGCCCAAAAAGATAGGACACTGAAAGATGAACTCCTCAGGTCAGTAGGTGCCCAATATGCTACTGGAGATCAGTGGAGAAAAACCCCAGAGAGAATGAGGAGACAGAGCCAAAGCAAAAACAACACTCAGTTGTGGGTGTGACTAGAGATGGAAGCAAAGTCCGATGCTGTAAAGAGCAATATTGCATAGGAACCTGGAATGTTAGGTCCTTGAATCAAGGCAAATTGGAAGTGGTCAAACAGGAGATGGCAAGAATGNCAGTCATTAAGTCATATCCGAGCCTGTGTGACCCCATGGACTAGAGCACTCTAGGCTTCCCTGTCCTTCAGTATTTTCTGGAGTTTGCCCAAACTCATGTCCATTGAGTCAGTGACGCCCTATTCTAATAGCTCAGGAAATTCCAAAGATTTTGAGAGCTGTGAGCCAGGAATTGTGGACAAAGACCAAATATATGTGAAATAGATATATCTCACATATATTTGGTCATCTGAATGATACAGTTGAATCACAATATTGAAGGCAATTAAATATTTTGGAAATGTATAATGTTGGCAGTTGCAAAACACAGTTTTTATTTAATGTTACTGAACTGACAGTTAAAACAGTAAGTTTTGGATTACATAACGACAATATACAATTTAGGTTAAATTGACTTAAAAAAAATGCAGAACATGAGAGTTGCAAGTTAGGTTTTATTTGGTGCAAAAATGAGGACTATAGCCCAGGAGACAGTACCTCAGATAGCTCTGAGAAACTGTTCCAGAGAGTCAGGGGGAGAAGGTATGCATGTGATTTTGGTGAAGGAGAAATACATGCAATCAAGCACGTATTTTCCCAGAAGTTTTCTGCTAGTCTGGTGAAACTTTCTGCTCATTGGATTTGTCAATCCAACGAGTCAGTCCAAAATCCTGGATTGATATCAAGGAACAGTTGTCACCAGGAAGGATTTTAGTGTTTTTCTAGATATAAGGAGATACAAGAATCAGGCTTATAAAATTGACTCCTGAAAATATCTAACTGTTAGAGTAAACACACTGACTGAAACCACCCACCCTGACCAGGCACCATAGTAACCATTTGCATGAGTTATTTTACAACAGGAGGTCTTGGCGAGGAATACAGAACTAGTAAGCCACCACCAACCAGAAGAGTTTGGCAAAGGTCAAAAGGAGATGCCATGTGTCCTACCACCTCCCAGAATCCTTCTCACTGACATCCTTCTTGGCCGCATAATGTGTGTGCCACCAGGATGAACCCTGAATCAGAGTGATTGGCTAGAAACAACGCAGAAACTCACCCCATCACCATAAAACCCAGGACTGCAAGCCGCATGGCAGAGCAGTCCTCTCAGGTTCCCTTACCCTCCTGCCCTCTGCCTGGGTGCCCCTTCCCAATAAAGACTCCTCTGTCAGCACATGTGTCTCCTCAGACAATTCATTTCTGAGTGTTAGGCAAGAGTCCACTTTAAAGCCCTGGAAGGGTTCCCCCTTCTTGCAACCTAACTATTTGAAGACCTGTCCTGCCAGTTTTTCCCAGAGCACAGAAGTGCCTCATTTTTGCTCTCCACCCTGAACTTCTTTCAGGAGCTGTTGAAGACCAGCAGCTGCAGCAACACATGATTTAACCATTGTAAAGGAAGACAGCAAGTGCCCATGGCACGTGCTAATTTGTAGTTGACAGTTGTTTTACCACGATAAAGGAAAAATCAAAAGAAAAGAAAAAAGGATAGAGATAGTAAGAAATGGACTATTTCCTGCCATACCAATAAACAGTCACACTGTGACACTGATGTCACAGTCATCAGTGATTCCAGTCCTCCAGGGCAACCATGAAAGAGAAGAATACCTGAGATCCAATAGCTATCACGCTGCCTCCACTCACTTCGAGGAACCAAGGATATTAAAAAATGCAGGATGCTGGCCCCAGGTAGCTGAGATGCATATGAATGGAATGATTTCTGTAAGCCTAGACTCTTGCATATTCCATACATAGAAAAGTGCTAAATTCTTTAACTTAAGATATTTCTTTAATTAACAGTAATCTTTTGATGTTCGAACTACCTGCCCCTTGATGTAAACTTCTGTATAGCCTAATTCCTCCCCAACACCTCCTCAGAATAACTCTCTCGTGGTTACTTGACATGCTGTCTCCCAGGTCTGAAGTCCTAAAAATTTCTGCCAAATAAAACATAACTCTCAACTTCTAGGTTGTAACTATTTTTTAAGTTGACAGTAGTGAAGATTCCAATTCACATCACACATGGTTTTTGCACTTAGCTCAGAAAAAAATAAACAAATTTACCAAATAACATTGGGACTTTTAGTGTGGGGGAAGAAGGTCTTGCCACGCCTCTGAGAGGAAACAGGCAGTGTCGATAAGAAGCACTTTCAGTTTATGAGAGAATGGCAAGAACGCTGACAGTCTTGAAGTCTCCAACACCATCCTCCACTGCTAAGAGCATGATACGGCTGATCCAGTCTCTCACGCTTGTCTCCTTCCTTGGCCCAGGTAAATGCTGGAGTATACCCATGTAGTCATGTTTGACTCCTGGTTTTGTGCAGTTTGCTCGATCTAAATCACCTACATGTAGGTGTCTGTCTGTATCTCTACTAAGGGATCTGGTGGGGCTCACAGAGATGCCTGATAAACTGTCATTGCTTCTCAACTTAAAAGCTTACAGCCTGAGATCATTTAGAGTTAACAGCTTCAACTGTGTCTGCATTTAAATGAATTATATGCTGGGGTATGGGAAATGAACTTTTCTAAGACATGACTGGGGTTTATAACCAGCATGTTGTGGTGTAAAGAGAGCTAAGGTTAAGAAAAGAAGCCTTCTCACCAGAGTAGCTACTATCTTACTGTGTGATCACAAGTAGGCGACATGTTCCTTCTTAGCCTCATTGAAAATATTGAAAATCTATGGTTCTGCTTAGCTGAAATTTCCGAACCCAATTAAAACACTCGAAATAGTGTTCTCAGTTTTTGCATACTTTGAAAAAACTACTCTCCAGCTTTCCTTTCCTTTGATGCAAATCAGGGACTAGATAGTCCAGCAATACCTAATCTGCCAGACAGGAATTCTCAGATCCTACGTGCCTCTCATCCCTGCTGTCCATTATGTGGAAAACTCGAAGGTTCATGTCAGGTTTTGGGAAAACGCAAGTGGTCCGCTGGGGCCAAAGTGCAGGAAGGAGCAGGAGACAAGACAAGAAAGCTATCCCAGAACTAGCCCAGGGTAGCAGGTAAAAATTGTAATATTCACTGTGGGCATGTACTATTCCAGGCACTGGGTCAAATGCTATACTTACATCATAGAGGTAAGGTTTTTGACAGTTCTAGGAGCCTGTGCTATTATCACCCCCGTTTGAAATAACTTGCACAGACTTCATTAGCCAGTAGGTGGCAAGCTCTTGTGACAGTTTTGAGGAACAGTGATGGCTAATCAAAATGGCAGCAGCACAAGAGAAAGGACAGAAGCAAGAATCGCCACAAATGTAGAATTAGCTAATTACCTGGCAATGGGTGTGGCGGGGGGGGAGGGAATTCATTGCCATCCAATAAGCAATCATTGAGCACCTACTGGATGCCTGGCACTGTTCTAGGTTCTGAGTGCACACCATGAATGAAGCAGAAAAACATTTCTGCCCTCACAGAGTTAACATTTTAGCAGAGAAAACAAGCTATAAACAAAGTAAATAGGTGAAACAAAATAAGTAAGTATATTGGATAGTGATAAATGACAAGGAGGAAATAAATCAAGCAGAGAAAGGAGAGATTAAATATTGGGAGCAGTGACATTTCAGACAGAACAGCCAAAAAGTTTACAAAGTCGGGAGTGGGGAGGAGAGAGCTGCCATGATGAGATGATTTCAACTTTGGACCTACTAATTTTAAGATGTTAGTGTGATATTCGTGAGAAGATTTTCTGAAAGTAGCTGGAAATTTAGGACTAGAGGTAAAGCTGAGGCTGGAGGCTTCAAACTCACAGCATAGAAATAATAAAGCTAAGGAGAAAATTGTAAGGAGGACAGAAACTTGGAGAATATGTACAAGAGCAGAAAGAGAAAAAAATTATACATTCAAGAGCTACTCCCTGGCCCAGGAGCCATGGAGGCAAAGACAAGAGATCCCTGTCTTTGCCTCCTTGCAAAATTGAACTCATCTCTAGAATTCAATATTCTGAATGTCCTCAGGTTAAAATTCCCATTTTTCTCCCCATTCCCATTAATATTTCTCATAAGGGCCCTGTGAAATATACACTATTCCTATCCCCCACTTGAAGGAAGAGGAATGAGGCATACAACACTTGAGTAACTTGCTTAATGTCACACTGTTGTGGGGGAAGTGAGGGTGATGTATAGGAAATGAAATATACTTGAATGTGTTTGCAGGTGTTCTGAGGTCCAGGAAGAAAGCAGTAATTTGTGGGGTTATAATTTAGGGAGACTGGCTCCAGAGTCTATTCATAACCATTTTACTATGCTGCATAGTTTACAAACAGCTATATATTCACATAAATGTATTTGTAATTATAAACTGTGATACTATGAAGATAATAAGCAGGGTACTGATGCTGAAAACTCGGCCTCTGTGCATTGGTGTCGAATCAAATCTCAGAGACAGAGTTTTGGGTGAAGTAGAAAAGAATAGTTTTATTGGTTTGCCAGGAAAAGGGAGACACAGCAGGCTTCTGCTCTCAAAAACCATGTGTTCCAACCTGGGAGGATTTGGCGAGGAGTTTTATAGCAACCATTCAAGGGCAGGGTTGCTAATAAGATTAGGGTGTGTGCAGGGCCTGTACTATTTTAATCTCATCTCAGATAATTTGATGAGTTTCTGTGGTTCCTTTAATCTGGCCTGAGGTGGTCTTCTAGAAGAGCTTCTCTAGCTCCTTTAATCTGGAATGAAGAGTACTGGCATCTTCCATTTGTTGGCAGTGTTAGTTCTATTAGTATAAAGAGCTCAAAGATATTGTTGTGCATGCTTAAGGCAGAACCAGGACCCTTCCCCAAGGCTGCACCATTGTTTTTACTGCTCCTCCCTTGTGTCTGCATCCCTTCCCTTTCCAGATTAGCAATTGTTATAATCTGCCCTTAGGAACTCAGGGAAGGTCATTAAAGTGAAAGTGAAGTTGCTCAGTCTGTCCGACTCTTTGCGACCCCATGGACTGTAACCTAACCAGGTTCCTCCATCCATGGGATTTTCCAGGCAAGAATACTGGAGTGGGTTGCCATTTCCTTCTCCAGGAGATCTTCCCAACCCAGGGATTTAACCCAGGTCTCCTGCATTGTAGGCAGGCGCTTTACCCTCTGAGCCACCAGGGAAGATTCGAAGGTCATGAATGCTGGAGTCTATTCCCTACAAGCAAGATATGCAGGACAGACTACTGTAATGATGTAAAGTAATTAGCCTCCAACTAATTAAAATAAATGGAAAAAAAAAAAAAAGATATGCAGGACAGAAATGCTTCGGTGTCCATGAGCCCCACAGGGCCCTGCTTGTTTTCAGGACCATGGGATAGAAAAACAAGAGGACCTGCTTTAGATGGAGGTGGTGTGGAAAGGATTTTCTGGAAAGCATCTCAACTGATATCTGAAGAGAAGTCAAACAAGGGAGGAGTCTAATGAAGAAGCTTTCAAAGCAGTGGACATTACATGTGCAAAGGCCCTGGTGCAGGGAAGAGTTTAGAATGATTAAGGAAGGGAAAGAAAACCACTGTGAGAAGAGTATGGTGCAAATAAAATCAATCTTGAAGCAAGCATGAAGGAAGATGACTCATACTAGCCTACATTCTTTCAAGGGGCCAGACACCATAACTTGCTCCTTTTAGGAAATTTAGCTGTAAAGATAAACCGTGTTAAGAAATAATTCCAATAGATATAATTGAGATCAAATGTCATCATGCCCTGGAGAAAATGAATCTCACTTGCTTCTACATTTAATTATTTCTAGGTAGGAACTTATCAAATGTTAATATGCATACAAAGTATTAGGGGATCTTATTATAATGCTGATTCTGGAAAGGAGACTAAGTCACTGCATTTATGACAAGTTCCCAAGCAACACCAGTGCTATTCCATGGACCACACATGAGACTTTAGTCACAATGAGGATGGAAGGATGGAGAAATAAGAACTAGTTCTTTGAGTGTGTTTGCAAGAAGCAGATATAGGAATTCTGATGTTCAAGAGAGAACCGTAGTAGGAAATATATGCTACAACCAATACACATGGGCCAACCATTGATTCTGAGGTTTTGAGCCAAAAACTTTGCAGGTTTTTCTGCTCAGAGACTATAATTCAATGACTTCCCTTCCCCCGAGCAGCATTATCTACTTCTTACCAACCATCCGCACCTATCAGTGTTTATTGTTGCTCACAACAGGCAGAGAGTTGTTTTACATTTGGTGATTATCATCAAGAACAGCTGGGTCTTTCCAGCTCTCAGGGTCTGCAGCCAGTGCCCACTGGACTGCCAGCCTTTCATGCCTCCCAGTGTTCAGCCTCACTCCAGATCTAGCCTCAGTTGGGTCTCCATGCACAGACTGTTGTCTTTCTCCCTTTTTCTTTTTTTTTTTCTCATTAAGGTGCAATTCACAAAATATAAAATAATAATATTAAAGTGTACAAATTCAGTGACATTTAGTGAATTCACAGCATTGGGCAACTACCACTTCTATTGTTCCAGGACACTTCATCACCCCAAAAGAAAACCTGGTACTCATTAGGCAATCCCTTCTCATTTCTCTCCCCAACTATCCCCCTTCAAACATTTATCTGCTTTCTGTCTCAATGAGTCCACCTATTCTGGATCTTTCATATAAATGAAATCATGTAATCTGTGAATTTTTATGTCTAACTTCTTTCTCTTGGTAAAATGTATTCAAGGTTTATTCCTGTTGTATCATGTAGCGATACTTCATTCCTTTTTATTGATGAATGATATTCCAGTGTATGTGTGTGCCGTAACTTATTTATCCACACACCTACTGATGGACATCTGTGCTGTTTCCAGCTTTTGGCTTTTTCAAATAGTGCTATTATGAAGACTTTTGTACAAGTTTTTGTTTTCAGTTCTTCTGGGGATGAAACTGCTGGATCATATGATAATGCTGTACTTAATTTTTTGAGGGATCACTAAATAGTTTTCCACAGTGGCTATACCAGTTTGCATTCCCACCAGCAATGTGTTCTAATTTCTCCACATCCTTATCAACACTTATTTTCCAATTATTCTCATTGTTGTTATTATTATTAGTCACCATCTTAGTGGATGTAAAGACATTTCATAGAGATTTTGATTTGCATTTCCCTCACAATTAATGATATTGAGCATCTTTTTGTGTGCTTATTGGCTATTCATATATTTTTACCCTCCTTCTGAATGTGTTTCATGCTGAAACAGCCCACTATATCTCTCTTTCCTTTAGATAGGCCTGAGCCAGTCCCCTAGCTTAGATAACCCAAAGTTTCTCTGACATTTGTTCAGAATCAGCTCAGCCTTACCGG